ACTAGTATTGGCCTTTGAATCAGGAAATCATATGATTTACTATGCCGGAATAACACAATCAAGAGGAATGAGTTGGCATTCATTGTCAGAAAGGATCTTGCTAAAATCCATCATGAAGTACAATGCTATCTGTGACCAGATTATATCTAGCTACCTTCAAGGAAATCCAATCAATACGACTATTGTTCAACTTTATACACCAACCACAAAAGCTAGGGATGAAGAAATGGAAGAATCCTACCAGTGACTACAGTCTGAAGTTGATCAAACATGCAATCAAGATACATTGATAGTTAATGGTGATTAGAACACAAAAGTTGGAAACAGAGGAAGGAGCAGTAGTTGAAAAATATGTAGTTGGTGATAATATGAAGCTAGGGATCACATGATAGAATTTTGTAAAACCAATGACTCATTCATAGCAAATACCTTTTTTCAACAACACCAATGGTGACTATACACATGGACTTCCCAGGTGGAATACACAGAAATCAAATTGACCACATCTGTGGGAAGACCCAATGGAGAAGCTCAATAGCAGCAGCTCAAACCAGATCAAGGGCTGATTGTGGAACAGGTCATCAATTGCTCATGTGTGAGTTCAGATTGAAGTCGAAGAAAATTAAAACTAATCCACAAGAGTGAAAATATGACCTTGAATCATTCCCACATGAATTTCAACATCTCTGGAACAGACATAACGCATTGAACACCGATGACAGAAGACCTGATGAGCTGTGGGAGGACATCAAGACCACCATTCATGAAGAAAGCAAAAGGTCCTTAAAAAGACAGGGAAGACAGGAAAGATCAGAGTGGATATCAGAGGAGACTCTCAAGCATAGAGTAGCTAAGGAAATGGAAGAAATGATGAAGTCAAGGAGCTGAATAGAAAATGTCAAAGAGCAGCTCAAGAAGACAAATATTGTAACAAAATGTGCAAGGACCCAAAATTAGGAGAGCACAAGGGCAGAACACACTCGGTATATCTGAAACGGAAAGAACTCAAGAAAACATTCAAGCCTCTGGTTGAAATTTTGGAAGATTCTACAGGCAAAATATTGAACCATGCAGGAAGTGCCAAGAGAAAATCGAAAGAATACACAGTCGCTGTACCAAAAAGAACTGGCCGACATTCCACCCTTTCAGGAAGTTGCATGTGAGCTAGAACCGATGATGCTTGAGGAAGACGTTTAAACTGCACTGAATGCATTATCCAAAAACAAGGGGTCTAGGAATTGAAGTGTCTAGAAAGCTGAAGAAACGCAGGAAGCACTCACTCATCTAGGCCAGGACATTTGGAAGGCAGCTACTGGGCCAACTGTCTGGAAGAGATCCATATTTTGTGTTCACTCCAAAGAAAGGTGACCTAACAGAATGCTCAAGCTATAGAATAGTATCATTGGTGTCACACACAGTAAAATTTTGCTCGAGATCACCCGACAATGGTTGTAGCAGTACATTGACAGGGAACTGCCAGAAATTCAGACCGGATTCAGAAGAGGGCATGGAACAAGGAATAGCATTGCTGATGTCAGATGGATCTTGGCTCAAAGCAAAAGAATACCAGAAAGATGTTTACTTGTGTTTCTGTTTGTTTGTTTGTTTTGTTTTTTCATTGACATGCGGAGAGGGCTGCTCACAGCGGGAGAGGAGCAGGCCCTGCCCAGTAGACAGCGAGCACAGACCACTCTTCTCTCTCCTGCCCAGTAGACAGCGAGCACAGACCACTCTTCTCTCTCCTGGTCAAGCATGTCGTCCCTTGTCCTTGGCCACCTGCAGTTGTCCTCTGTGTTCCCCACACCGCTGTGGGGCCCCAGCACTGCTGGACAGCTCACTGGACATTGTCATCTTCAAAGAGATCCTCAAAGTCATTGAAGATGTCGGCATGGGCATGCATGGCCTTCTCGTTGGCGGTCAAGTCCATCAACAGCCCAGTGCTGCCTCCAGCCTTGACCAGGTCCACATAGGGCCCGG